AATTCAACAGAACAAATCGAATCAGAAATGGGTGACGGAATAGAAAATCCAAACAACAACAGAAACAATGCGAATGAACCAAACAATCAGGGTGTGGTGCCTCTTGTACCAAAATCAGCCATGTATGATTGGGCACAACCCACCGCCGAAAATCTGGCAACTGCAATTGCAGTGCCTCAGATACAAGCGGAGTCATTCCAAATCACGAGCAACATGCTACATTTTTTGCAGAACAAGAGACTATTCTCAGGGTCTTACATTAAAGATCCTCAGCAATATCTGAAAAACTTCCTCTCGATATATGTCACGCAAAGGCAACCAAATGTGACACCGGAAGCAATAAGGTTGTTGTTGTTTCCATTCTCGGTGACGGCAGAGGCTTAGACTTGGCTCAATTCACTCCCCATAAATTCCATCACTACTTAGGAGGAATTAGTCAAGCAATGTTTGAACAAGTTCTACCCACCTAATAAGACTGCCAAACAAGTTGACGAGATATTGAGCTTCAGGAAGAGACCAACAGAGACACTACAAGAAATGTGAGAGAGGTTCAAAGGTATGCTAGTTAAGTGTCCTCATCATGGCATTCCAGATAAGATGTTGTGGCAAAGGTTCTACATGGGATTGGCAGACAGCTTGAAGGCCAATGTTGATGCTTCAGCATGAGGAGCATTTTTGAGCAAATCATTTAGAGAATGCAAGAGTTTACTCGATAAAATGGCTCAAAACTCAGGATGGATAACAAGAGGCTCTATGATAACTCATGTTGTTCACTCAGTGGCTTTGGATCCAAATAATAGCTGAAAATATGGCCACTCTGATGACGCAAATGAGTATCCTCACCAAAAGTATTGATGAATCAGGCCAGAAGCAGCAGGTACACATAGTTGACACGACTAATGGGGATTTATGTACACCATGCATCACCAACCATATGTATGCTCGTGGAGTGTGGAAGCTGACAACCAGAACTATCAGGAGAATATGAACTATGTGGCCAACTGTGGAGGGCAGCGGCAAGGTGGTCAGAATTGGGGTCAGTAGAATCAGCAGTATAGACCAGTACAGTAGCAGTAAAATAATGGTAATAATCCTGGAGCTATGAGACTACAAGGTCAAGTTGTGCCTTACCAAAGGCAACATGACTACAATCAGCAAAATTAATAGCTAGATTATCAACAGCCTCAATAACAACAGATAGTGAGACATGATGATGGGTTGTCCAAAATTAAAAGAATGATGCAACAATTGATTAGGTCCAATGGGAAAATGCAAGAGAATGTCGAAGCAGATGACTCAACGGTAAAAGGCATTGAGATTCAATTAGGACAGTTGTCCATGGCTCTAAATAATCGCCCTTGAGGGACATTCCCCGCAGACACGTATATCAATCGAAAAGAGTAGGGCCCGAATCAGCTTATGGAAATGAGCCTAAAGTAGAGATCTTGATCTAGAGCAAGAAATTGCTTGCGAAAGCCAACCAACTGAAACACTTGTGCCAATACCAATCGATGTAGATGATTCCACAGGGTTGACAGAGGTGACGGTACAACATGCACCAGCTGAATCAAGCAAAGAAAAAGAGGTTGGGAAGGAAATTGAGTTAGTGCAAGAGAAGGAAGTAGAAACAATGCCCGAACAGGTTCAAACTCAAATCACAGAAAAGAAGCGGCCTCCAACACCATTCCCCCAGATATTGGCCAAATATCAGAAAGATGAGCAGTATAAGAAATTCATGGAGATGTTGAAGCAAATCCATGTGAACATTCCTTTGATTGACGCCTTGAAGGAAATGCATGGTTATGCTAAAATGATGAAGGACTTGATGTCTCGTAAGTTCGACTTTCAAGACTTGGCCACGCTTGCACTGAATCAGACATGTAGCATGGTTGTGACGAGACCCATAGCTGAGAAGTTGTCTGACCCAGGGAGTTTCAGAATCCCATGCACAATAGGCAACTATGTTTTTGCTAAGGCACTTTGTGATTTGGGGGAGAGCATAAACATGATGCCTTTTGCTATTTATAAAAGGTTAGCATTGGAAGAGCAAGACCCACATCCATGTTACTATAGCTAGCCGACCGAAAGGTGAAGAGGCCCTCAGGTATACTTGATGATGTGCTGGTGCAGGTTGGAAAGTTCGTGTTTCCGACAGATTTTGTCATTCTGGACTGCCGAGTTGACGAGGAAATTCCCATTATTTTGGGAAGGCCATTCTTGGCCAATGGGAGAGCTCTGAGTGATTGCAAAACTGGGGAGCTAAAGATGAGACTGAACGATGAAGAGATAACGTTCAATGTGTAGAAATCTATGCAGCAACCCATTAAGTTTGCTAACTGATCTCTGATAGAGGTTGTGGATGTGATTTTGGAGGAGGAAGATGTGACTCTGAACGCAAAAGACCCTCTAGCAGCCTGCCTCATGAACTTAAAAGAAATGGATGGTGAGGACTTGTCAGAGTGGGTTTTGGCCCTTGAAGGTCGAGGGTACTGGAAAAGAGAGCTCGAATTCGATCCCTTACACTTATAAGAAAGAAAACCACCTCCAGCTAAGCAATCAATTGAGGAACCACCACAGTTGGAGCTAAAACCGTTACCGTCTCACCTCAGGTATGCCTTATTGGGACCTAAATCCACTTACCTGTTATTATCTCATCCAGTTTGTTAGATATGCAGGCAGAACAACTTTTGCAGGTGTTAATGGAATGCAAGACTGCAATTGGCTGGACCATTACAGATATCAAGGGGATCAGCCCGGCATTTTGTATGCATAAGATTCTACTAGAAGATGGGCACAAACCTTCCAGAGAACATCAAAGAAGGTTGAACCCTAACATGAAAGAAGTGGTGAAGAAAGAAGTGATCAAGTGGTTAGATGCGGGAATCATCTTCCTCATCTCTAATTGTAACTGGGTCAGCCCAGTTCAGTGTGTGCCAAAGAAGGGTGGAATGACTGTAGTGCAAAATGAGAATAATTAGTTGATCTCAACTCGTTCAGTCAAGGGTTGGCAAATTTGCATGGATTACAGAAAACTGAACACGGCCACCCGGAAAGACCATTTTCCCCTGCCATTCATTGAACAAATATTGGATAGATTGAGGTCTCACTTATGCTTTTTGGATGGGTATTCGAGGTACAATCAGATTTCAATAGCCTTGAGGATAGAGAGAAAACATTATTTACTTGTATGTATGGCATCTTTGCCTTTCGGAGGATGTCGTTTGGCCTATGCAATGCACCGACCACCTTTCAGAGATGTATGTTAGCCATTTTTACCGATGTGGTTGAAGATATTATGGAAGTCTTTATGGATTATTTCTTATTGGTGGGGGATTCATTCAAAGACTGTCTTCACAATTTAAGAAGAGTGTTGAAAAGGTGTGTGGAGACAAATTTAGTGTTGAACTGGGAGAAGTGCCATTTTATGGTACAAGAAGGTATAGTGTTGAGACATCAAGTGTCACGTAAGGGTATTGAGGTCTACAATGCCAAGGTTTACATGATTGAGAAGTTTCCATCGCCCATTTCGGTCAAGGCAGTGAGAAGTTTACTTGGGCACGCCGGTTTCTACATGCGATTTATAAAGGATTTCTCTAAAATTGCTAACCCATTATGTAAACTCCTTGAAAAGGATCACTCCTTTGTGTTTTCCGATGACTGCAGGTTAGCATTTGAGGAACTGAAGAAGAGACTGGTGACTGCACCAATCATCGTTGTACCCAACTGGAAGCAATCGTTCGAGCTCAAGTGTGATGCGAGTGACTATGCTATAGGAGCAATTCTGGGGCAGCGAAAGGACAAACTGGTGCACCCAATTTACTATGCAAGCAAAACGCTAAGCGGTGCACAACTCAATTATACGTTGACTGAGAAAGAGATGTTGGTTGTGGTGTTTGCATTCGACAAATTCAGGTCTTATTTGATTGGTTCAAAGGTGATTGTTTATACTGACCATGCAACACTTAGGTACCTGATAGCAAAGAAGGAGTCAAAGTCACATTTGATCTGTTGGGTTATTTTGCTACAAGAATTCGATTTGGAGATCCGCGATAGGAAAGGGCCAGAGAACCAAGTGGCAGACCACCTTTCAAGGTTGGAGGGAGCTGAAAAGAAAGTAGAGGTAGAAGATATAACTGAGACATTCCCGGATGAACAATTACTAGCAGTGGCAATGGAGGAGGCACCATGGTATACAGACATTGCAAACTACCTGGCGAGCGGTATTGTCCCCTATGACCTTTCCTCTATCCAAAAGAAAAAGTTCTTTCGTGACTGTCGCATGTATTATTGGGATGAGCCTTATCTGTTCAGGATTTGTGTTGATAACATGATCAGGAGATGTATCCCGAGATAGAACAATCTTCTATTTTGCAAGCTTGCCACGCATCACCATATGGTGGCCATTTTGGGGGAGTAAGGACAGATGCGAAAGTGCTGGAGTTGGGCTTTTACTGGTCAACATTGTTCAAAGATGGACACTTATGGGTGAAGGGTTGTGATGAATTCCAACGAACCGAGAATATTTCCCGGTGACATGAGATGCCTATGAACCCAATTCAGGAAGTAGAAGTGTTTGACATAATGGAAATCGATTTCATGGGGCCTTTCGTCAGCTCATATGGCAACAAGTACATACTCGTAGAGGTGGACTACGTGTCAAAATGGGTGGAGGCTGTAGAGCTCCCTACAAATGATGCAAATGGGGTAATTGGTATTTTGAGAAAAAATATATTCACCCGATTTGGCACCCCAAGGGCAATAATTAGTGACGGAGGCAATCACTTATGTAATCGCGCCTTTGCCAAGTTGTTAGAAAAGTATGGTGTACGCCACAAGGTTGCCACCCCATATCATCCACAAACGAGTGGGCAAGTGGAAGTTTTGAATAGAGAGATAAAGCTCATTTTGACAAATACTGTGAATGCTACACGAACAGATTGGGCGAGAAAGTTAGATGATGCACTCTGGAATATCGTACCACTTTCAAAACTCTGATTGGCATGTCGCCGTACAAATTGGTGTTTGGGAAAGCGTGTCACTTAACAGTGGAGTTTGAGCATAGAGCCTTGTGGGCATTGAGGCAATTAAATCTCGACATAGAAGAGGCGGGTACAAGTAGAGTCACTGAGTTGCACGAGCTGGATGAGAGCGCAAGACTATATAAGGGGAGAATGAAGATGATGCACGACAAAAATATTATTGAGCGGAACTTTAAACCTAGATATATGGTATTGTTGTACAATTCAAGATTGAGGTTGTTTCCAGGCAAGTTGAAGTCAAGATGGCCGGGACCATTTCGTGTGGTAGAGACGCATCCAACTGGAGCCGTCGAGATTACAATGGAAGATGGCTCCCGCAAGGTTAAATTTAATGGACAAAGGCTAAAACCTTACTAGGGCATGGTTCAGGAAGACAAAATGATCTTGACCATGTACTTGAAAGATCCCTGATAAGGGATAACCCGAGTTGTGTCACGACGCTAAATCAGGCACTTCTTGGGAGGCAACCCATGGGTTTATTGTAATTCGTCATGCCGCGACATTAAATCAAGCGCTACTTGGGAGGCAACCCAATATTTATTTTGGGTTTTCGTTGATTTTCATGTTTGATTTTAAATTATGGAACTATTTAGAGGTTTATCAATGTGCAGGGATGAATGTGTGCAGGCTGGAATGATTCGGGTGAAGAAATCTATTTGAAGAGGGGCTAAAAGTGGCATAAGTCGAGAAGTTGATACTTCAAACGTGCGCGACCGTGCACTGACTGTGTATATGGACGTGCATATTTGGACCTTCACTGCCATACATGCACGGCCGCACAGGGACCACGCATGTGGCCGCGCATTTTTTTACCTTCAATGCCACACGTGCGCGGCCGCGCACCGACCGCGCACTGGGAGCCATGTTGTAGGGTAGTATGATGCCCTCCAAGAAACGAAGCACCACAGGTGCCTCTTCTAGTGGTCACGCAGGCTCATACCGGTCGCGGGCCTCGACCAATGCGCCCCAGTATGATAGTACCAAGTTCGTATCAAGCGCGGCCCAGGAACGTTTTGGTCATAAGGCTCCCAAGAACCCATACTGGAGAGGGGAATTGATCTGGGGTCCCTCCAAAATGATTGTCCCAATATGTATCGTGAATTGGTTTGGTGCGGGCTAGGTATATTCTTTGAAGAACCTGATGAAGCCAATTTAATGATTGTGCGGGAGATTTATGCAAACTGCCCGAAATATCTGAACCATGTTTGCACGGTACACCAGAAGAGTGTGGATCCATCCATCAAGGCCATTGGGAGGGCTTACCGGTTGCTAATGTTTGGGATAAATCCTGAAGCGGAGGACCATTATGACACCTATAGCAGAGAACCAACCTCGTGGAATTTGTTCTTTAGAACAATATGTGTGCCCAACAAGGATGTGGTCTGGATTAAGAAGGGGCGGAAGTTTCATTCGGCACCGCTCACCTTTGAAGGGAAGTATTGGCTCTATATCATCAATAGCCTCCTATTTCCTTCTTCTAACACCACTGAAGTGAATGGTCCCCATGCTGCACTAATCTGGTGATTTATCAGTGGCCACAATTTTGATGGGTTCTTCTGTCCTTCCTTAATCACTAGATTATGTCGTGTGACACGTGTACCGAAAAACAAGAACTTTGATGGGAAAATAAAAAAACAACAGAAGTTCTGAGATGATAAAATGGTAAATGAGAAAGACTCTGCTGCACCCATTGAGGCAAATAGCGATGAGTCTGATGCTCCAAATGAGGGTAATGAAGGGCAAGCTGAGGTTGTGGCTGCTTCGCCCCCGCACGAGGAGGTTACTGAGGGAACATCGGTTGTCAGAAGGGACACGAGAATGACAGCCTTAGAGCAGGAAATGGCATGGTTGCGTATGTCTGTCACTGACGTGGGAGCTAGAGTGGATGCCCTTGCTAGCCAAAATGCAAAATCTGAGATGAGGGTCATGGCATGGCTACGTGCACTTGGCAAGGCTTGCCATCTCGACCCCGGCACTGTCTCCGACCAGGACTGACTCTATCAGAGAAGTCCTTTACCTTGCATTTTTTCTTTGTGTGACATGTGGACATGCCTCCATTTAAAGTGTAGGGCGGGGGATATCTTGTATTTATGTTGTATATATATAGTAATGTAGATTAGTGTTAGTTTCTTTGGTTAGTTAAATTTTTTTTAAAAAAAAAATATTCCATCATAAATGGTGACTCTTGATGTAATTGTGCTTAAATAATTGGGAATTAATGTATATTGATTTGAAGGCGGAGTATGGTTTGTCATAAGTGTGGTGTTCCGACTGATAAAGGGTATGTATTAAAGTGCTTAGGGAGGTGTAGTCGCTCTTATATCTAAATGTATCCTACCTATCCCGCAGCCTACATTACAACCAGTAAAAAGTCCTACGTTATCCTTGACTAAATGAACTCAATTAATAGAGTAGTACACTACGGGCAAGCCTATGGTGCGACTTTTGTGGGACATGAATGTCGTTTCTGAGAGTGAGTGAATTATTTCTATATTGAAGTTCCTAATTGTTCATGAATTTCATTAATTGTGAAATGATTCTCTTATGTTGTGGGAGGGCACTTGATTCATGAAGGAAAGGTAATTATTGACCTATGTTTTAGAGTAAGTGAGTAAGTTGTGAATAATGCGTGATGCTTGTGAGTTAATTCTTGAGGTGAATATGTTACACTACTATGCTTGGTCTATTTGAAATATTCTTGGTATGATGAGTTAGGAAAATTGCTTAGTGAGGTTGTGTCTATGTAAAGTGTGGTTTGTTTGCTCGGGGACGAGAAATGGTTTAAGGGGGTATTGATAATAGACTATAACTATGTAGTTTGGCCACTATTTGCACTCTAAAATGGTTGCACTTCACTGATGTTTGAGCGCTAAATGAGTGTAAATTATGAGTAGCTAAACTCTTTATTCTAGGGTTTGATGGAACCTCTTGGAGGATAAATCTTTGTTGCGTTTAATATAAATTTTCCATTGAATTTTCCCTACGTGTTCAAATACGTGATTATTGTGGTTGATTGAAGGGCCCTCAATCGGCTATACCTATTTAGTGTGTATTACTTGGAAAAAGGGTACATATTTAGGTAGTTGTTGAATAACATCACTCCTAACGTATATGAGGGATCAATACGGAGGGTTTAAAGGTGGGTTTAGGAATAACGAAACCTTGGTGCGATTGTAGTGAGCGGTAAATGAGTTCTAGCTAGCGTAGTTCGGAAGAATACGTTTAGTAAATTGTTGTATTTTCTCAGAAGAGAATTACGACACCTAAAGTGCTCACGATAATAGGCGAATTTGTAGCAGACATAGTAGGGAGGATTCCGATAATAGGGGAAATCGTAACTCTAGATCTTCCTAATCTTGTCTAAAACAGTTTCTTTGTTAGTAATAAAATTATAGTTTTTAATTACCTAGTTAATTGTTAGTAAACACTCAAGTCATTATTCAATCTTGTTGGAAGTTCATTATTTGGATTCTTGTTGAACTAAAAGTTATGATTAGTACGTTAATTCCCTGTGGGATTCGACTCCGGACTTGTAAACCGGAATATATTTTCAACGACTGTTTGGCATGGCTTACCATCTCGACCCTGGCACTGTCTCTGACCAGGACTGACTCTATCAGGGAAGTCCTTTACCTTGCATTTTTTATTTGTGTGACATGTGGACATGCCGCCATTTAAAGTGGGGGGTGGGAGGATATCTTGTATTTATGTTGTATATATATAGTAATGTAGATTAGTGTTAGTTTCTTTGGTTAGTTAAATTTTAAAAAAATGAGTGAAAATTTCAAAAGTTTTGACTTTTCCCGACGATGGATATCATTCGACGGGTATCTTGAGAGATTAAAGTCAAGTAAAATAAAAATAAAAATTTGTTGGTTGTGTATCAATTCCCCCTTGGTTGTTTCTTTTTGGGTCGAAGTTCTTTTCCAAGGGTTTCGTTTGAACTGGGTGTAGTTAGTTTTAAACTTTTTTAGAAGTAGGAACTCGTGGGCTATGGGCTGAATTGAAAATAGGGTCTCTTAACTTCGCTATGCCTTGAGAATAGCTAGTGCGGTAGTATGACGCTTAGGCTCAGTTGTTGACTCTTGTATATGTGCCTTAAATTGTATATTCTTAACTTGGATTAAGTGCTTTGACTAGAGTGTTTTGATGATCCAATCTGGAATGAGTCATCTACCATGTGTGTGTGAGGTTTGTTGTATTCTGTTCATTGCATTTGATGTCTAGAACTTGCCCCGTTTGTTTGCAAAGAGAAATAGTAGTTTTGTTCAGTCTTGGAAGTGATATAGGCGTTTCTTTGTTGAGCCAGGTATATATATTTTACCCGCCTAATTGTTATGTATCATAGTTAAACCCTTTGAGCATGTAATCCTGTTTCTTTGGCAACCACATTACAAGCCTTACCCCTTTGTTTGAATTAACCATCTATTTGAACCTTTTAACCTCTCATGAGCACTTGAATTGTTATGAACTTTGTAAAAGTTGAAGTGTGGGGTGGTTTGTTTGGATTTTGAGTGGAACTAATGAAATAAGGAGAAAGGTGTACTGTTTTGAAAAAAACAGTAAGAGCCACTTGAATTGAAAAAGAAAGAAAAGAAAACAAAATAGTTGTGTTGCTGTGAAAATAATAATAATAATAATAATAATAATAATAAATATTCCCTGATAAGTGGTGACTCTTGATGTAATTGTGCTTAATTAATTGGGAGTTAATGTATATTGATTTGAAGGCGGAGTATGGTTTGACATAAGTGTGGGGTTCCGACTGCTAAAGGGTATGCATTAAAGTACTTAGGGAGGTGTAGTCACTCTTATATCTAAATGTATCCTACCCGTCCCGCATCCTACACTACAACCAGTTAAAAGTCCCACTTGATCCTTGACTGAATGAACTCAATTAGTCGAGTAGTACAATACAACTAGTTAAAAGTCATACTTGATCCTTGGGGCACATGAATGTCGTTTCTAAGAGTGAGTGAATTTTGTCTATCTTGAAGTTCCTAATTGTTCATGAATTTTATTAATTGTGGAACGATTCTCTTATGTTGTGGGAGGGCACTTGACTCATGAAGGAAAGGTAATTATTGACCTCTGTGTTAGAGTAAGTGAGTAAGTTATGAATAATGCGTGATGCTTGTGAGTCAATTCTTGTGCTGAAGATGTTACACTACTATGCTTGGTCTATTTGAAATATTCTTGATATGATGAGTTAGGAAAATCGCTTAGTGAGGTTCTGTCTATGTAAAGTGTGGCTTGTTTTCTCGGGGACGTGCAATGGTTTAAGTGTGGGCTATAACTATGTAGTTTGGCCACAATTTGCACTCTAAATTGGCTGCACTTCACTGATGTTTGAGTGC